GTCAACCGATTCGGACGTGCTAGCGAGCGTATTTCTGTTGCGATATTAAAGAAAGTTTTTTTATTAAACATTTCGTCTCCTTTATTTCGGTCGTGTTTGCGCGAGTGCAGTGTGAATGCGGCACGCGAGAAAGCTCAACGACAGAGCGCAACAATATAAAAATTAAAGCACAATTGTGTAAACGTAATACGTGTGTCAAGAATTGTAAATAATTTATTCTTTATCATTGTCAAAACTGGAATCTTGAAGGTCTTTATCATCAAAATCATATTTTGATAATCGTCAAAATCATTATAATCATCATTTTCATCATCATCACCATTATAATATTTGCCATCATGTTGCATTTCTTCGTTTGTGTCGGCTACTATAAAAAAAGATATATAACAATTATTTACTATATAAAGATATTCTGGCTAAACTTCCAAAAACAAATACGCTTAATTGTTATGATTTTTTGCAGAAATACTCGGAATGATATCAAATGAATATCCTTAAATGGATTTTCTGCGTAAACAAAGTTTAATACAAAAAATGTTTAAATAAAGTTATATATTGTTATACCTTTTTTTTTAACGAGGTGGTAAATCTTCCAAAGACTCCCTGCGCCTGAGACAGGGGAGTGCAGGATTCAACTCTCAACTAGTCTCTAATAGCCTAACGCCTTCAGACCAGTCGCCTAGTTGCTAAAATCCAACCCCGAAAGATAGACCTAACCCGATCTAAGAGGGTGGCCTCGGGACTGCCAGAGAGCATTACTTCAGGGCCACCCTCAGGATCATGGGAACAAACTTCCACGACTGTCAGGCTTCCGCCAGAAAAAATTAACGATTAAGTCCAAGAGATGAAGAACAATTATGACGAATGATAATTTTCTGTACACGCAGAGATACTTCACTCCTCTTCTTCCCACAAATCCTCAAAGAAGACCTCCCTTATACGAGCCTGTCTGGCTATCTCCGCCTCCTCCTTCGTCCGCATCACCTGTTCGCAGAAGACACTAAATGCCTCCCATTTTTCTCTTGATTCCAGAAATCAAGTCGGAATCAAGGCCTCCATTGACAAATCCGGTCCTACGATCTCTGCAAGCGCCCCCCCTCCCACTATTTAGGGCCCATGCAGGACACCCAGCGTGTAATAGTTGAAGTCGCATGGGTCATCACAATGGGAGCAGTCCCTGCCCGGAGCTTTTCCGATACGGTACAGATAATCATTAAAATACCCATGGCCGGTCATGACCTGCGTCATCCTGTAAGTTAAGTAACCATGGATGTGTTTGTACCAATACTGTAGAACCAATATCCTTCTTATCTCCACTGCTGTAGTACCAGACCTAGCGTAGTCCTCCTTCCATCTGTTCAGCGCCCTGTCCAGTGCCATTTTTCTGATCCTCTCCCGGATCCAGTACGTGACTCTAATTTCCTCAGCCTGGACTGCACGGGTATCAGTGAACACTTTCATATACTTTTTCGCCAGAAAATCCACGGGAATAACCCTGGCCAGAAGGAATGCCGCCTGGTAGGAGACAATTCTATCTCTGCCGCAAATTCCCATAGGTATATTCCTATATGGATCATGTCCCATGGGAAAATGACCCAGGTGCCCCATAGGTAACCTACATGGGACTTATATGGGACCTTCATCTCAAGTAGAAAATAAACTAGAAATTAGCCAGTAACTGGCCAGTAATTGGCTAATTGCATTGGCTAGATACTGATCAGTTTAAGCGACGCTTGTTTGGGCAATAACTGGACAGAAAATTTAGTCAGTTTCTAGCTAGTTATTGGTCAGT